ATTCTCAGACCACTTTCTCCTAATCAAACCATGCGTCGCGCTCCCGAGATGAGCTTCAAATATCCGGGCCTTATTCCACCATTTCTCCTGAGACGGGTTCAGGAAACACATTCCACTCCGCCTCTCAGGGACCTCAGACTTATATGGAAGTGGTGGATGATCCGGACAATGAGGCCAGCCCTCTGATATCCTTCGAGACTTAATGCTATGGTCTCTGGTTAGGCGCGGCATCATCCCGTTCCCATGTTAGTCCCGAATCTTCTAAGCCAGTGGTTCTCAAACTTTTACGGGCTGTGGACCCCCGTGGACTCCCCTAAGGATTTCTAGCATTAGATTGAAGGATCCTGTGGACGCCCTCCAATAGGATCCTATGGGGAGCCCAAAATCGCCATGGACCCCCAGGGGTCCCTGTGGACCATTTTGAGAACCAATTTTCTAAGCTCTATCCGAAGAAGTAGTCCTGAGTCCATCTCTGCGTGGCATCCCAGAACAAAATGTGGAACGCTTCACGATTTTGCGTGTCATCCTTGCGCAGGGGCCATGCTAATCTTCTCTGTATCGTTCCAATTTTAGTATGTGTACCCGAAGGTACAGGTATAAGAGGTGCGTTCTGGGCTAATATACCGATCGTGAGCTACCATGGGACGTCCTTGGTCCTCGAACGGTATTCAATCGATAATTCCATCTGTCTGGAGTAGCCTAGTGCTCGAACTTGCACAGCGAGTCCCTTTTTCCCGCGCGAGGGCTCGTTCCATAAGGGCGAATTAGCTCTCAATCCTCAGATCTCGCTGCAATGGTCACAAATCACATCCTCCTTCTTCAAAGCTCTCGAGCAATCCTCCCAGGGTGAAGCAGCGGCCTGGCATGGGGGTTTCGAAGCGAGGACGGATCCCATACGAAAGAGGGGAGCGCGGGCGCTGCCGTCGCTCTTTCTGACCGTGGTGAAGGTCTCGTGAAGAGCTGGCTACAGAGGGTTCAATCGTCTCTCCGTAAGTGAGCGCCTATCTGAGTCCCAACTCTTCAATTTTAAGCCTTTTATGGCTATTGATTCTTCCCTGAACTTCATCGGTAATGCCTCATGATGGCTTCAGCTACTCGGACGACATTGGTGCGAATGATCGAAGTCTTCCTTGGGATGCGCTACATACGTGCTTCTCGGGAGCAAGGAATCGATTCAAGCGGAAATTCCACCGTCCTTTCCTCTCAATACAGAAACTGATGCGAGCTACCATACCCTTGCTTCCTGCGTCTGGACTCCGTTCTCATTAAGGAAGTTCTCTCCGGAGGGGAAGTTCAACATAATTCAACCTACCGGCAGAGGAACACTCGAAGGCAACGCCTGTGACAGCGACCCGCCCTCACTGTAGGTATATCATGGCGACTCAATTTCCGGCTAAAAGATTGGGGAGGTGTCCGGACGTCCACAGGGAACCGCTTCTAATTAGAGACTTTATTGCTTCTATTGAAAACGAAATCAAGAGAAGGTCTGCATACAGAATTATCCAAACCGAAAATGTGGAACGCTTCACGATTTTGCGTGTCATCCTTGCGCAGGGGCCATGCTAATCTTCTCTGTATCGTTCCAATTTTAGTATGTGTACCCGAAGGTACAACTGTACGAGATGCACCCCACGCTTATATACCGGCCCCGAGCTCTTATGGGACGTTCTTGCTACTCAAGCGGTCTTCATTGGCTTCCTACATCTGGTTCGTGCGACTTCTCGCTCGAGCCTGAGCAGCGCTCACGCGTTCCTGCTTCGACGCTAGTTCTATAAGGGCTCGATGATTCATCTCTGCCAAATCTGACTCCAATAGTCCGAATTCGCGCCCCTGTTCTTCATCGCTCTCGAGCAATCCGTCTAGCGAAGAGCAGGTCGGCGTCGCGTTGCGGGGAGCTCCGCGTACCTTTCTTTTGGGAAGCATTTGTACCATGAATGAGAAAAAGTGTTTGACTTGTCTCCCTGTGCGATATAGAGCATATTCAGAGGATTTAGGGTTATCATTGATTATGCTATGGTCGAATCGACCGTAGCGATAATTGCCCCCGTGATATTTCCCCCCGACTCACTCCGTCGAGCATCACGTCGGCATTGACTCACTAATCCGAGGAGGCAAGAGGAGAACAACCGCGATTTTTTTCCTGGAGAGGGGGGATGTGATCTTGTAGAGTCTAGAGGCCTGGAAATCCAAATAGGCGACCAGCTGCTTCGTAATGGGCTTCGTACGAAGGGGAGCCCTGAGGCCTGCGGAGGCTATCGCCCCATGCAGCTCTGAGGGCCACTGGGGATCTTATCTTTATCTCAGGGGATTTGATCGAATTCAGTCCAGCGATACACCGAAAGTACAGGGAATCGCTTCACCGTTATGCTCAGGGGCGGCAGGAAGCTTGTTCCAGTCTACAGAAAAATGCCCCATGACTCGTAGCTTGAAACAGCATTAGATTGGAATTCGCCCCCTAAAATGAAAATTGAGATGTCGACGGCACTTGATAGCACTCTCTGAGATCCTCTCAACGGTGGCGCGGAAAGGTTTTCCTCCGGGCCCTTCCACCGCGTATGAAAAACGACGTAAGTTCCTTGCTTAGCGAAATGGGGCGCGACGGCTATTGAGCGCGGAGTTTTCCGTGTAAGTAGGAATTCGAAGTCGGCAGCGTCACAGAATGAAGGTAGATCAAGGAGCCTCAGGGGATCCGCGGCATTGCGCGAGGGTACGCGTCCCCATCAGCGAAGAGCTTATCGTTGATCATGTGCCTCGTATCGCTTCCGATGGACTTTATTGGAGGCAGGAGCCTCATTCATCACTGAGGCGACTTCGGTGAATACAAGCTGCAAGTCGACGCTACTTGGGTAAGTTTGGGATAAGCAATGATTTGAGGTTGTCGCTTCAGCGTGCCCTTTCGCCGGAGCATCCTCGAGAATGCGGAACGCCTCTGAGATCAGATATGCTTCTTAGGTGCCACTGGAGTTGCGAGAGCATTGAGCTCTCAGATGCATAATTGAATATCTGCGTGCGGCGAGTCCTTGGTCGAAGCTCATAGATCTTCGTCCCGGGATGACGGTGGACTCCTTACCGCGACTGCACCGTTTGGACTCCGGAGGTGAGGTTTGCGGCCTCGCGGTGCTCGAGTGTACCGAGTGGTTTATATAATTCCGGGTATTTTTCCTCATGCCTTTCTTTAATGGGGGTGAGTCGTCCATACACCAACTGTCCTCTCTGTGGACCTTCAGAGAATGCCTAGATTAATGTGGAGGGGGCCCTTGATCGCTCTAAAGACGATTGATGGTCATTGCTGGGAGGGGTGATCTCGAGAGCTGTCGACTCTGGAGGGGCATAACCCGATCAGAAAAGGCGCGTGATCGGCCAGAGGCGACCCGATAATCGATGGAGAGCCGGCCCTTGAGGGCAGGGTTCGGCTCACGGGAGACGGGATCCTGTGCCTCTCTCAGCGGCCATCACTGTGCTTGGACCCTGTTCGTAGAAATTGAGATCAACAGAGGCCGGGATGGATCATGCTCCATTTGCCGTATCGGGGAACTAGAGCAGAATATAGTCTGGTATCCAGATGGAGAACCGTATTCGATGCGTCGGCGTTAAAGAGAAATGAATAATCCCGATCGGATCTCGTAGGAAACATAGGGAAGTCACTGCCACAGATAATTCCCCATGTATTGGACTGCATTTTCGACGAGCCCCCGGATGTGCCTCTTGAATTGAGAGATTTCGAGCTTCTCGGCAATTTTTTCTGGGGGGCTTGATTTTCGCGAGGATCGAGGATTCGAGGAGGTCGTGTTCCGACGATTTCTCGGATCCCTTCTATGTGGAAGTAGTCTTTTTCCGGCGCTAGAAGATTATTCAGAATTTCTCTGCTCCCTAGGAAAAGGAGATATTGCCGATAGAGAAGTAGTGTCAAGGACTTTTGGCAGCCGTCTGATAACTTACAGGCGACGGGATGACGCCATGCCGGAGTTTATCGGAAAGTTGGTCATCGAATGGAACAAAGGGATCGTGCAAATTGATAGTGTCAGCAGACCGAGATATCTCAGCTGAAAAAACTCTGAGGAAGGAAGACGAACCATTTATACCCGACAGATGTACTCGAGCGCACCAGCTTTCCTGCCACCTTGCAGGTCGGGTGAACGGAGACTAGGGTCCGCTCCTCGTGGAATCTGGGGGGACTCAGATCTGGCGAAGATTTTCGGAGAAGAATGAGACATTTTTTGTGATAATTTTTTTAATAAGTCTCTCATCTTTGGGGACCGAGATCTCTTCTTTCGATCCCTGCGAGCTATGCTTTCCATGGATCGAACTCTGCCATCTGACAATGAGCAACTCCGTGTGATATTCCTCTACATTCCAGCAAGGTACAGGTCCTTCGTAAGGTTTTCAAGAATATAATTTCCGGTACATCGACTTCAATCCTCCAACATTGATTTCTGAGAGTCTCATTCCTAAGCTTACCCCGTCGACTTCGGAGCGAATTTTCATTTTGCGCATCCCATACATACCCATACCCACCTAGCCCGAGACTTTTGAGCATTTTATGTACAATAGGAGATCGCTGTCTCGGGGAACAATTCCTTCCGTGAAGACAGTACAGCAGCCCTAGATATCACCTGGATCATCCCGGAGGCCGGGGAAAGTTCTCCAACTCCAAGGGCAATTGTACGCTTCAAATTCTTTTCGTGGGTGTATGAACAGAGTATACATGACAAGCTTTCGCCTATTGAAGCCTATACATTGACTTTAACCCCCGAATATCCACCCGCCATATATCTTTCATGACACAGTGTTGAGAGAACCATGTCGGAGATCTGTCCCGGCCTCTCTCCCCAGCCGATGCAAGTCATCCGGACATCGTCGACTCTGCTGAGGTCCACAGTCGGACCCTTTCGTGAAAATTCGGAGCTCGCAGGTCCCGGCCTTCCGTGGAATCGTGATTTCCGCAGTAGAATATATCGAGCTGATTTAGGAGGGGGAGTTCATCCTCTCCGATAACGAAATCAGACGTCTGTACCCTGATAAGCCTCTCCGTTCCTGGTGATATGGTTTGCCCGTGAGCAACGGCAGGGCGGGCTAGAGTTCACCGCACTGTGCGTCGTGACCGTGTGGCGGGCCCAGCAAGCTGTGGAAAATTTCCCCTTTAGATGGATGGCTCCGATGGATGATCGCTCTAGGTGGAAAATATTCACAGTTGGGAGCATTTCGTGCATAAGCGAACGGAATAAGACGAGGGGGAACTGGTTGTCAACTGTGCGGGATTAACGCAGAGCACAACTACGACTCAGGTGGAGCAAAACGGCATGCGATAATCGAGCTGAATGGGAGCGATACTCCCGGCCGTCGGGCGGCATTTGGATCACTCGCAGGCGACGTCCCAATCCGGAGTGAGATCACCACCCACCTATTTTGTACTTATCGCAGATGCTCGCATTTTTTGTTTTGATTGAAGCGTGCTTCGCTCTGTCCATCTCATTTACATGAGCTCTGTTCGCGCGCAACGCCACGCCGTCTTCATTTGGCAATTCTGCAAAGAACAAATTAGATGAAACGTATCAACGACACTAGAACCCGTACGGTGAGAGATCTACCAGAAGCCAAATGTCGACGGCGTTTTACGTAGACTGAGAGAAAAGTAATGATAAGCGGTGCGGCTGGTCCCTGTGGGAGTCGAGCCCAGCGATCGGGATCCGATAGAAGGCAACCAATGCTCGATGTCGCACTCTTTTTTATGGCTCCGCATCATATATCGGGAGGAGTCATGAATGAACGATGCAGGGAAATCTAATCGCTGGGCCCTGTCTGCGCGAAATAATGGGTTGAAGATTACATGCCGACAAAACTGATTATCGACTGTATTACTGAGACTGTGGAACTCGAGCTCAATAGACAATATCAGCATACAGGCTAGATGCATGAGCTTGAACAGAACATTCTTGCGCACGTCGGAGGACAGAGTTAGAAAACAGGAGGAGGTTCGAGCATGCGTGGAATGACCTGGAGGTTGCACCCGGCTCTTCATAAAATTGCATTCGTGGAAGTTTTGAAGGTGACATCGACGGGGATAGTCCACTGGGTGAAAATCCGCTCTCGGATTGGGGGGAGCCAAGATAGACGGAGCGGGGTTCTGACTTACTTTGCTTCCGACTGTGGTCGACTCGGCCGCATCGTAGGATTTTCACAAAAGCCTGCCTAAAATTGTGGCTCATGCCACCATAAATCAACGGGTTGATGGCACTGTTGGCGTATGCGAGGTATGTACACCAAAATGAAAACGTGGGAAACCAGTCCGGGAGCTGCAATAAAAATGGAGTGAGTATGCGTTATTCATCCCTGCAATTATTACGCTCAGCTCGAGGTCGACTCTGAATTTTGGCTCCCGCACCACGCCCGACGCACGCACAGAGATACATTGATTCGGAACGACGCCTAAGATTTCCGAACCATCGAATATCCAATCAATCCCTCGAGCATCGCAAGTCGAAGACTTTGCGGAAATTAATTTTTCAGGAAGATCCTCCATCGCACCGGGTGAACGATTTTTGCTGAGAGATCGATGCCAGGAAAAACGGGTCTCGATCCACGGAGCGTTCATTAATATTACAGTGAGCCGCGATCTTGTCCGCTGACCTAGTATTCCACAGGCGACCAGGCCACTCATTCATTCAGGAGGACGTCGTAAATGTACAGTGGCCTTCAAAGAGCCTTCATCGTGGTGTCCCAGGAAGAGACGACTCTTCCAAATGAAGCGACGGAAAAGGCTGCGCGATTGCAGTTCCACCCTAAATTTTCAGCGCGGGACTCTGCGGTCACTCGTCTTCCCCCAAGAGGAAGGGAGGGAGTGTTCATGAGTGGGTCCGGCAAGGTAATAGGGAAGTCAAAGAATCCTTGGATTGAATCAAGGAACCAGCTTGCAGCCAAGTCTAGAGAGAGAGAGAGGAACGAATCGTGGCCATCCATTGAAGGTCCCTGAAAAATTCCTGAGGACCCTTCAGAACTCTCCCTACCGCTCTGGGAGGACATCGTTTGAAAATAAAGAAGACCCTCTTCAGCGACCGATAGGAAGCGGCCAGACCCGCGCCCAAAACTAATACAGGAGGGCATGCTTAGATCGATGCGGCAGGTCCTGACATCGTGATGGCTCACACGCGCTGAGATTCTCGACAAGCATCCACTCAAACCAATGCGTCGACCACGCTTTTCGATAAGTCAGGTGAAACGTTCGGTTTCGATTTCCATCCCGTCTCTCGTCTCATGTGAGTGAAAGGAGCTAAATCAATAACGGAATCGCTGTCGTCGGAGGCGTGATGATTCAGGTGCATGCTGAGGATTCAGGAGTTGTTTGGTTGAGTAGGCACGTATTCAATGACTCCCACGGAACCTCCCGGCATTCAGATTCTTGACAACATATCGTGGCAGCGTCAGCTCCTGCCCCCGCACGCTTTTCCAGATATTGAGTCAGAGCCGTTCGTCGAGCCATGCGTATTTCGAGACTTCGATATTTGCTCTTTCCTCATTTCCGTTTATTTGTCAAGACGCGACAACCAGCAACCGGACAAGCTTATCCGAGAAAGTCACTCGCGCTCCTAGTGAGGTTCTGGACATCTTCTTTGAACAGGGGAACTCTTGTCCCGAATCGGACTGTGCTTCACAATGACGCCTGCCGCCACGTAAGCCTCTAATACTTTCGGCGAGTTTCGGACCCATCGGAAACTTCTGCGATTACAGCCGAAAGCTGTATTTCTTTCCGCTAGCGACTCCCGCGGCTGTTGAGCTCGGAACGAAACTGAAAACTCCGGAAGATCAGTTTGACCGCTACTGCTTCAGGGTTTGAAGGTTGAAGGCTGCTTGAAGGTTTCCTCTCGCGCTTTCCCTGGAAACTTTTCGAATCCCTGAGCTCAGTGAGCGCCTGGACATTGGGAGTCATGCGTGGGTCGACCCAGTGATGCATTAGAGTGAACTCAAGCCTTTGCGGCGGATACCAGTGATCGTCCGGAGAGCTCAGATGAATTTCGAGACTTTGAATTTTTTCTTTCAGGAAGAAACTCCGCAAAGGAATAATTCAATTTTGAGACTCAGGAACCGGGTCGGACTTCAAAACGAGAATATCTACGCTGGAGTGATTCTCTCGTAAGCCTCGGGCTTCGCATTCGGGCCTGCTGCCACTGCTGCTCTGCATAAGCCGGATGATTCCGCGGCCTGGATTCAGGCAAGAGCGATAAGGGAGGTTCTGCTGCTCGACACTCCACCTGTGCAGGTTTCGCTACAGGGTACCGCTCTAGATACGGGAGTGTCTCTGGCTAAGCGTGAGCGCTATCACTGGTGAGGATTCAGAGGCGCTCTATGCATATCCCGCATGCTGACGCAGTGGAATCATCGCGCGCAAAAGACGACGCCGTGAATCTGGAGTGAGGCTCCGCATTCCGCAGCGCCGGAGTCACAGGGGGAAAAGCCTCATTCCTGCTACCCAGACCGGCCGTATATGTCGTGTTAGATATGCTGTCTCTCCATAGGAGAAGCAATGAGGTCAAGAGATCGTAGGATCACTCCTATGCTCTGTATGATTTCAAAATTTCATAATTTATCCATTTGAATGCGACGTGAACGATATGTCAGACAGCTGTGTTACCGCCGCGGCATTTCGTGCAGTCGCTCAAAAATTCGTGTAGAGCCCCTCCCTAGACCTCCTCAAGCTCGATACTCACCGGCATGTTTCCCTCGCGGAGCCTAGTGAATAGAACCATCACTTGGAAAGGGCACCAGCAGATGATGAAGGCTCCAAGAACGACGCAAGCCATTTTCACCACCTGTAAGGGCAAGGATCTAGTGACTTTCCGCTTCAACCGAAGCTCTCGAAGAGGCCCTCCACCTCTGGGTCCGAGTCACGGAGCATCGGAGGCATCCCGTTCCCTTTCCCCGGGTCTTAACTCATAGAGCAGAGTTCGGGTTGGGCCTCCCGAAAGGTTCCCCATGGTAGTTTTTGCCTGGGAGACGCTCACTAGGCTCTCTTGAGGCTTGACGCCATATTCGTGGGCTTCGAGAATAGAAGCGAAGAAGTGGAAGTCAGAGCCGACCCGACCAGCTTAGTTCGATGAGGATACGCGGAGCAGCGTGTTCTACAACGAGCATGATCTATGCGCATAATTTATCACGTCACTCGAGCCAATTCCATTAAATGTAAGAGACCTCTTCATGGAAGCGATCCATTCGGGATATGCTCATTGAACCGATTCCCTGAAAGCCTCTCAACCAGTAGAAGAGAAGATCGATTGAATGCCTGATGAATGTCCACATGGATAAACACCGAGAGATGGAGGATGATGCGAATCGTTCTCATCAATAGTCAGTGGCAAGCATTTCCCGATCAGGGATCACGCTTCTTCGCCTGCGGCTATTGAACATGAGGCGGCACGACAAGTACTGCATCACAATAGCGCAATTTGTGGAGGACCGAATTCTCGGAATGAAGTGGAACCTGGAAGCCGGTTCCCGATGATCAGGCTACGGATGCCCAGCGCCTAGAGACTCGAGGACTCGTTCGTTCCTTTTTCTTGGGAAGATAAGGTCTCAGGTGAGAAGCTCTCGACCTCGATTCGCCGAGCAAGGACTTCGACAAATAGAGTAGTGATTCGAGCTTGGGAAGTGAACCAAGTCCGGGGGACCCTAGTATTCCTTGATATCATACCTACCCCGGATCATTGATTTCCCCCCGAGATGGGGGCCTCCAGGAAAGGCTTTCCTCAGGTTGCTCAAAGACCTCACCGAAAGCCCCGCGTCTGCCCTTGAGCTCTGCGTCCATTCCCAGTCGAGCAGCATCGGTCAACACTCAACACTGCGCCGCCGCCCCGGAAGAATCACTCATGATGAGAGGACAAGGAGGTGGAGATGTAACTTGATTCTATTCGTCGAGTGGCTTCGGAATGAGCTCGCTTCCGGGGGCCTTGTCCGTTTTCAGCATATGTAGCTGCCAACTGGACCTGGCGCGGTGAAAGCGTCTTTTGCTCATTGGTTGAATGCTTATGGCTTCGCTGTCGTCGCGCGGAAAGCGAGATATCAATCTACTTCCTTCGGCCTGACCCGGGGCCTCATCTTCGCTCTTGTTTTCATAACCTCGATGTCTCGTCTCACAGGCTTCCCGATCGATGATCATGTCATGGGGCTCTATTCGATCGAACCGCTAAGTAGGACTCGTTCCAATTCCTAGGTCACCTCGTCGTTTCGATCCGCAGAGACAATAGGAAAGGATCGTTCTGAAATGCGGAGCCGTCCCGGTTCAATCACTTAAATGAGAATATGTAGTTCGTCAAGACGAATGCGATTTGATGAGCTTGTATATCTATAGTTTCAGAGCTGACACACTCCAAGACGCCCAGGACCTGGTCTGTTCCATCTCCTGCTCTCTCGGTAGTCATGACGGGCGTACGCCCCCCGGAGAGGACGGAGCTACACAGTGAGTAGAACACACTGTCGAGATGAAAACGTGGAACACACCAACGAAGATAGCTCGTGGAGGAACGAATTAACTTTTCGTAGCACGCCCGGACTTGAAATCGTCGATGTCATACGAGGGGAGAATGGTGATCCAGATATCACTCTCACATTCAGCACGACGGAGTAGTATTTGTTTATAGGCGGAGGGACTCATGACGTCGAGGATATCGTTCATTGTCGTGACGTCTCTAAGGCTTTCTTTACGCTCGCGGAGCCAGGTGCGCCCGATCACAGACAAGATTCGAGAAATGGAGTTGACCGGCGGAGCTCAAAGGGGAAAAGGTCACGCTCAGAGCACTCTAGTTTGTCTAGCTATGATCGCTAGCCTAAGTGAGTGAATCTTCTTCCAATTCGATCGCAGATAGAATTTCGCCCTGAGGAAGTTATTCGATTCGAACAATGAGCCTGCATGAGAGTACATTTCCCCCCCCCCTCGCGCAGCTGCGTTCCTTGCCATCAGCCCCTGCCATTTCGGCACGCCGCGCCGGGGATGTCGTCGCAGGACAGCACATGAGCAAACTCTGTTCTTTTCACGGAGCTCCGGAAACATGAGAAAGAGTTCCCCGTCCGTCACAATGGCTTCCTCTCAGGTTGGAGCTACAGCAACTTCTCTCAAATATCCGGTAATTCCATAGTCTGTCAATATCCGACTAATATCGACGTCGTAAGGACCGAAGACGACGAAGATCTTCCCGAAATCAAGCGATGATTTCATGAATGAAATGATTCTCGGATGTACCTCCATGCTATGACGTATTGTACATACACCACGACTGATGATACTTCGTACATCGTCATCGAATTCCCGGACGCCATAGGGTGAGCTCGCTGGTAGGGAACAGCGAGCCGATCGGATCTTCAATGATGCCCCGGAGAGCCCCCCGTGAGAAGCTCTATCCTAATAATTTGCGCTCATGAACTGAGTGCGAATCAGCGAATATTCCATGAGAAAGTTCTCCCATCGGCCCATTGTATTCTCTTGATCATTGCAGAGCCTATGGAGGGGGGGGGGTGGGGCTGGGCACCAGCATGGAAGACGAGAAAATTATAACTCGATGCTACATATTGGTGGAGAGTTTGAGACTCGCGACTCACCCGTTTCCGAGCCCGATAATGAATCGTGGCCGCTGTCGAGTTGCCATTCGAGTTCAGCGTGATGTCTGGTCGACCCCTCCAGAGGAAATATACTATCATTGAATAGGAAATCGTCATAATCAGAACCGGCACGAAAAACAGCGTGACGGTCACACCGATGTAGTAGAGAGTTTTATGAGGCGACGAGACAACGCATCGATTGAGGTCCGGGCTCCAAACACTTTCCTGAGGCCATGAGTCCCCACAATACGTCCGAGCTGCATCAGTCCACTGAAATGAGAAGAAATCAATGTGTTATTCGATGTTTCTCCGAAATCGAATCAAAGGTCATGGACCTCGCCGTGAAGGTAAACTGCAAGCGTGCCGCCGCGAGGCAATAGTTTGGCTGCAAGGCGAGCCGTAATGAAACTCCAATTAACCGCGGATAAACCCGTGCTGTCGGACCGAAGTCCCTATAGCGCTCGATTAAATTCATTAAAAAGAAAACAGCAAGGCTCCGACTCGATTCGGTCTCGGATCTTTAATGCCATGCGCTATTGCAAGAAGTTTCGAACCGAGCCCGTCCGAGGTCTCGTTTGTGCAAGCTGAGCTCTCAGGCGCGATCCGAGACATGTGGAAGCCGAGCCTGACGTCCCGAAGTTCGTTGCGGCGACCCGCGTGATGTATCTCTCATCAGGATTCTGTGAGCCGCCGGAGCCTTCTGGGTCGATCCAGGGTCGGAACCTGACCACATCGCGAGGCTTTTTCCTGGTGGGCTGCATCGAATCCCTCCTCGCCTGCCTAAAATATAATTGTGGAGCCGTCATCGAGAAAGGCTTCAGCAACATAATCGCTTCCCGAAACACGATTCTCAGACACGGTAGATGGAAGTCCGATTGCTGAGTCGATGTTGTAGGAGTCGGTGGAGATGGTCTGAATTCAGAGTCTGTGCAAACTCAACTTAAACTTCAGTCTCGCTCTTGGAACGAGCGACACTCCCATTCGTGCGCCGCCATCGATTGAGAGAGCTCGCAACGAGACTTGAGCTCGTTCGTTCGACAAGATCATTTTCGTCAAGCATCGGCTCTCATGGAGACTCTGATATTACTCATCGCAGATATTGGTGGATTTCCACTGTAGCTAATTTGGAGGAGCGACCTATAGGGATCATGCTCGGCTGGGTTCATCCCGGGAGGATGAACTCGATGTGGAGAATGTCCCATTGGAAGTCATTCGTGGGAACGGAGGCCAGGCCGGTGGCCTTTGACCCCGATTCCCGAAGCACACCCCTGCTCTCATTAGCGGCGTGTTTTGGCTCCAGAATCGCTTTCTAATGAAGCACTTGAAGCGCGGAAAACCACTTGACCGCAGCGCTCTCAAATCGAGTTCGAGGGGTCCAACTGCACCAAGCTCAGGGTCAGTCAGAACTCAGAACCGAATAGGGTCTCGCAGGATTTGAGCCCTTTTTCGAAAATCGCTTCGGCGTCCTTTTTCAGGAAGCTGTATCTCCGGAACGGTTGGTCGCAGAGCGACGATTTTTTTTGCGGACCTTTTTCCCTTGAGATAAGACTCTGTACGGAGTTTCAGAGTTGCTGATTAACTGTAAGTACATATGTTTAAATGCCCGAAAATTCTTTTTTCATCGAATGAGCCCAAGTGTATTCTACCACCACTCGAGTCGGTTTGCGGAGGCTCTATCTCGAATATCTACAGAACGGTTGGTCGTACAGAGCCGAGAAAACTCCCTTGGGAATCGCAACGGGGACTTCCCCCTAAAGATCGCGTTAGGTATTGGAGGATGCCATGAGTCACGGGATATTCACGCTCCGAGTCTGCCGGAGAAGCGAGAGTATTGATTTATTTGTAGCTAGATTCGTTCAACTCTATGGGACATCGCTCAGCCTCTAGTCTTGATCCGTCTCTTCTGCCGACAATTCCGTGTCACTATCCCTCCGCAAGAAGAGATTCGAGAGCTCCTCCGCAGGACTTGGGATCAACGGAAGGTCCCGCGCATGCCGATCCGAATGCTGGTAGAATCCAATTATTGGGCTTATCCAATGAAAAAAAGTTTTCGGGCATTCAAACATACTGAAAGTTGAGCAGCCACTCTGAAACTCCGTACAGAGTCTTAATTCGCTCCCTCTGATCAGCCATCTGATCAAATGGCTGATCAGAGCCATTAGATCTGATCTGCGCAAATGAAAGCTCTGAGACTCAGCTTCCAAACGCGTTTTTATCGTCGCTCTGCGAGCCTCCTTTCCGGGGATACAGCTTTCTGAAGAAGGTCGCCGAAGCGATTTTCGAAAAGGGGCACAAATCCTGCGAGACCCTTTGACTTTGAGTTGGGAAGCATCCGGGACGGTCTCACGGCAAATGAAATCACTCCCAAGCAGCGCCGCCTCTCCGGTGGAAACCATTCGGGATCTGAAGCGACCCCGGGAGCTTATCTGAATTTTTATTTGACTTCCGGATCCTATCGCATAACATAAATGGCGAGACAAGGATCTCAATTGTGCGGGAGAGCTCCTCTGGGACGTATCCTCCGCCGGAATGAACATCATTCACTCTTTGGTCCCCGTTTCGGACCTGGGTTCTGATTCGCACTGAATCTACTCAAGGGTAACGAAACTCGGAATCAAGGAATGCAATTGCTTCCAGCGTTCCTCCCAGCTTCACCGATTCCGTTCGTAGGTGGCTACCGCAACTCAGGAGGTTTGTCTGGCATTTCACGCGAGGACGACGATATCGAGAGAGGAGGATGTAGATTGCAGGGTAGCGAGCCGGGACATTGGAAGCAGTTCTAGGTGCTCGATCTAATAATATAGTAAAAGCGTCCGGATCGTCTGCTCCTTCTCCCCCGTCGCAGTAAGTGCGGTCTTCGTATCGGATGAGCTCCATTGTCTGGCGAGACCGCTCTCGCAAGGATCGAGATTAAAACAAGTCGCAGCCGGCCAGCTCTAGCAGCTACAATAAGCCGGGAGCAGAGGACCTTTTCTTCTCACTCGAGGAATCGGGACACAAAAGAAGAACGTGCCGACAAAGACTTCGCCACGGAGACCATGGGACAAACAGACAGAGTTGCCTTAAGAGCGATAAGCCCTCCTAAGCAATGCCGCTCGATCATGGCACGTTAAGACAAGGACTTGCCATGAATGCGTGCTGGATTTACCGCTACATTGTGCAAACTTCTTCTGCCGCCCGATCTTATCCCGGTAATGACCGAGAGTGTTTCGTCCATGATTATGATTAGCATTGCAGCAGTGAGGATATTCCATGGGAACGCCGCTCCGGCAAGCGCCGTGTCCTTTCTATACTCGGAGTTGGGTTTCGTTGCCAAAGCAGGATCGGAACCGGCGAAACTTGATGTGGTCTCTCTTCGTGTCGGTTGCGGGAAATAAGTTCGACCTTGAAATCACCGGACTCGAATCATTCGTGAAAATTCTTGACGTCCCATACCAGCCCAATATCCTCCTGATGGTCGCTGGGATTCAATCACAAACCTTCTCGAAACGGGAATCGAACTTTATTTGTCGATTCCAAACCGTGCTTGTTTATCGGCGACTAGCGTAGATCCGAAACTCATCGAGCGAAAGCGGGCCCACGTTGCGAGATACGATTGGAATTATCCGAAGTCGATTCCCCCCTCGTCCCCGTTCACCGAACGGTCCGTGGTCTCCTCTATCCGGCGTCTGTGGTTGTCTCCTGCTCCACGAAAGGTTCGTTTGCCCCTCCAATTGAATAGTTGCGGGACATGGACATTTAATGGAAGAACGCACTCTGGAACTTGGAGGAAACAGACTTTGCTCCTCTGCTCTCACTTTCGCTGCGCCCCGATTCGCGCTCCCTTCTTCTCATGCCTTCCGAGCCGAGCTAGACCTTATTGTCGTCGTTCTCGCGCCTGCCCTTCGGGGAGTCGATACTTTCCCCGGGCTCCCGGCCGCGATCCGCCGATACTGTCGACGGATCGCCCCTCGCTCGAGCGGGAGACTTTGGCCGAGAAAGCCATCGATTAACTCTCGATCGAATCCAGAATATGTTTCCCTAAGGCGGGTGGAAAACTTAACGGATCCCGCTTCGTCCTCCCCGGGATTTCCGCGGAGCGACTCCCATTCCCTAAATTTGACCAAAGAGCGCGCCAGGCCCGGATCCAGGACTCAACTACTAATTTGGAGGGATATCCGGACAAGGTATCCCCTGTGGAATGAAATCCTCCTGTAGTCTGCTGGCGTGGTAGGCGAAAGACGGAAAACTATAGAAGCGAGGATTGATTGGAGGCTTGGGCAAAGTAGAAACATAAAAATTCAGCACCTCATTTCCCTCAAGATAGAAGCCTTGCACCGGTGTAAGTTTTTCGCTCGTGTGATGGACAACTTTCCGGGACAATATTGTACAGCTCCAGGGGTTTCCAAAGTCGTGAGAGTTCGCTGCATGATCCAGTCCTTCTGAAAGATTCCTGCAGGACTATCCGTGGCATAGAATCTCACGCAGTCAGTGGCGGAGCGGATACTGATCAAACATATCGGACATCGGAGCAAGCCGTTCGTCTCATCGGCGAGGATCGAAGCGCCAAACAAACTCGGGAGAAATTATCCCGCGAGGAAAATTCGTTTGTCGTCAAGTGGGGTATCACCTTGCTCCAACAGCCAGCGTGGGCGTTTGAGGTTGGGACCAGCTGTCGCGATCTCGATCAAAGTTTGCACCGCGACACCCTCGAAGCCAAGTTCATTGTTCTGACCTCCGAGCAGCTCGGAACCGTCCCCAAAATTCTCTTCTCTGTACTAATTTCTGGTGCCCTCCGCAACTCAGACGACCCGTCTACTCTCGCAGACAACATAGACGAATATTCGTCGACATGCGATCACTTATTGCATATCCCAGCCATGGGGGGACCTTTGATCTTGTTGCCGTCGACAAGACCGTGACATATCGCTGTGATCGTGTCCTCAGCCACCTCCGAGCCAAAGAAATGGGATGCGTAGGCAGGGCGAAAACGAATCTTGCAGTGTCGTGGAGGGTCGTCACCCTCATCGTTCTCGCTGGCGGCGTCGTTATGCTCATCTACATCATCGCAGGCGTGCTCGGTGAGAGACGTCCGGATTATGATCAAGGGATCCAGCCCCGCACCGCCGTCTTGCCACGCCACGCCGTCGCATGCGACAGGCGTATAGGGGACGTCCCATCGTCCAGCGCAACCGAGCTACGTCGGGATGGTCGAGCGGTTGAGGGAAGCTGCAAGCATCGGGTTGAAACTAACGAAGCCGCGGAGAAAGTGATTACAGGCGAACTATGAA